AATGATAGATTTTACAGAAAGTGATAAAGAAATTGAAATTGTGTTTTATAGAACACCAAGGGATCGTAATGAGTATAAATTTGAGGTTGAAAATTCTAATTTGATCAAAGAATACGAAGATAATAGAGAGGTAATTAAGTTGTATGCACCTGTAAAGATAGATCAAGTTTTAAAAGAAGATCATAAATTTATTGTAAAGTGTACAAAGTGCCAAGAAGGTATCTGGGAAACATTAACAGGACCACAAACTACATTAAAAGAAATATTAAAGGATACTAAGTTTGAAAAGAATCAAGAAAAAGATTTAAGTGAGATAATATCAGATGTTTATAAAAATGGTTCACCAGAAACAAGAAAAGCTATGGAAGAAAGTTTTATTGAAAGTCAAGGAACTGTTTTAAATTCTAATTGGAATCAAGTAAAGAATGAAAAGAATGAAAAATAAAATTAGTTTTATTAAGAACAATTTTTATGTTTATAAGCATGTTCAACTATTAAAAGACACCCCTGACATTTTTTGTATTTCTTTGGATTTAACTCAATTAAATAATCCTCATAGTTTATTAGTGTTCTCAATCCTAAAGAATATTCTTTATCATTTTTAATAACGTATTTTTGTTCAATTAAATCATCTATTAAATAACTGTTAACAAAAGTATCATTTGCTATTGCTTCGATAACTTTAATAGCCTCTTTAGTTGTAGATTCTTTCCAGGGGTGGATTAAATTATTTTTATTATTAGCACAGTTCTTTAATAGTATTGTATTAAACTGTTTGTTTTCATTGTTATAATCTGGCCATTTGATAGCGTAAAACTGTAATGGAACTAATAAATCGTTAAGATCATGTGTGTTAACATCTTCATTGGTTTCTATTATTCCATTTTCTAATAAGTTTCTAGCTAAATAACCCAAATCAACAGTCATCAATAATTTTAAATTTTTTAAAAATTTTTATTAAAATTCTTTTAAAAGTTCTTTCAATCTTAAAATCTCATCAAATTCACTTTTAATTTCTTCGTATGATTTATCATTGTTTAAAAACAACAATTTCTTCTTCATAAATTTGTTTTTCATATATTTAATTGAATCTTCTAAATTTTCTGTTCTCTCAAATTCTTCAAAGAATGAATCCATCAAAAAATTTTTTATAAAAAAAATTTATAATTTATTTATCCCAAAATGAATATTTTTAATATAAATAATTTTATTGACTTTGTGTCTAGTTTAGAAAAAGAGAATATAAATAAATCAAAAAATAAAATTGGAAAGCATTTCTCAGAAATTTACGATTTGCGTTTAGCTACAATTCTTAGTAAAATCCTATTTAAATATGATTATGATTTAGTCATTGATGAAAGAGAATATTATGATGATGATGTAAATTTTAGAATTGAATTTGATCAAGAAGAAATTAAAGTTATACACTCAACTTGTGAAGAATTTTATCAAAATAGTTATTTTAATAAAGAAAATGAACTTCTTAAGAAAATTAAAAACGTTAAAGAATTAATTCAAATTACAACTATAATAATAAAAGAAGATTTTTTTACTTATAAAGAAGGCTTTAAATGTGCTTGGAGTAGTTTTTCTTATAAAATCAAGCTGTTTCAACAAAAATTAAATAATGTTAATGAGTTGATTGAAGTTGAAAATTCCACAACATATAATTCTATCCAGCACATTTTTAAGAAAGATTGGATTTTATTACATTCGTTTATAGAATTTAATATAATTGATAATTATGAATTTCTTAAAGACTTAAGAAAAATATTTTCAAAATCAGAAATAATTAGAGGAGAGTTTTTAGATAAGCTTTTTGAACCACTTATTGAATTAAAAACTATTTTAAATTTAGAAAAAGATTCTGAATCAAATTATTTTTCATCAATGATTACAGAAATACAAAATAGATTTAAAAACATGCAATCTCAAGTCAGTAATAATAGAGAAAAATTAGTTGAAAAAACACACTTTGGCAAAAATAGATTAAGTAAGTTTAAATTTAAGAAAAATTGGGCTAAGATATTCGGTATAAATAAAGGTGTCTATTCACTTGATTTAAAAATATCTAAAATGATTGATTTTTTAAATCGTAAATCTTTAAATCCTTATATTTTTAATGATTTTGTATACGGCGTATCTACAAAAAACCATCTTTATTTTAAAGAACTGATAAATGTTTGTAAACGTATACAAACATATACTTTATTTGTTTTTAACCCTTTTATAACTTTATATTTAACAGTAAAGGAGAATTGAGTTAATAAATTAATTCATTCAAATGTTTTTATAAACTTTAAATCAATATTTTGAGTAAAAATTTTATATTATTTTTGTTAATTGAGTTAGAAACTTTTTTAAAGAGATTTAATTCAATATTTGATTCTTACCTGTCAAATCTCTCAAAAAATCAATATAAGAAAATTTTTAATTAAATTAAATGTTATTAAAATGATTTATAAAGAACAGTTGTTATAAGAAATAAAATATTAAAGCAACTTAATAACGTTCTTGAATTACGAAGATGATTGGAAAAGAGAGTTAACGTAAAACATAATATTATAAGAGACCTCTATTATTTTTTTATGGTTTTTAATGATAATATAAATAATTTTACAAATCAATGATATTTAATTTCTATATTACCTTTTTCTAATTTTAATTTCCTTTCTGTTATTATTAAACTTTTTTTATATAAATTATTAATCTAATTTATTTAACAATTATTATTTTATAATGTGATACATGTTATCCCAATACTTTATTAATAAAATGATTTAAAAAATCAAAGTGTAATATTTTATTTAAATTTAATGTTTAAAATAACTAACAGTTTATTCTTAATAATCATTACAAATAGTTAATTTACATTAAATAGAATTTATTTTACTTTTGATAAATCTCTTATTATTTTTAAATATTCTTTATAACAGTTTTTATTAGTCACTTTTTTATTATAAAATTTACTTATAACATCACTAATTGTATTCCATTGATTTGGGTATTCTTCATAAATATTTAAGAGTAAATTTACATCTATAGAAATATATTCTTTATTATCATACACTTCTTTACATTCTTTACTAGTTATGTTTATATTATATTTTCTATTTAATATAATAGATATTTTATTCCAATTTGTTATTCCATATTTATTTACTAATTTATTGATAATTTCTCTTAACATAATACTTATTAATTAAATCAACTAATTAATATTAAAAAATAAGTATAATTTTAATTTTTTTTATTTAACATTAAGTTATAATTATATTCTTATAAAACAATATAAATTCTTTATAAATAATATAAGTTTATTTAAATATGAAAAGATTTAAATTATTTATTGTATAACATAGAATATTTTATTTTAAATAATTATTAATTTAAATTCATATAATGAATTAAATAAATAACTTAAATTACTTTTTATTGAACTAATAATTTGTTAAATTCTTTAGTTTAATAAAAACTCACTATTTTGTATATTTTTATAAAAATCATAATAGAAAAATAAATCTATAAACATAGGTTTTTCTAATATTTCATTTAATACTTTTAATAAAAAAGTATAAAATTTTTTATTATTTTTAAAAATAAATTTAATAATTATAAATAAATATATATTACCTTACATAATTAAATATTTTAAATAACTTAATTTTTTTTGTAATAAAATTACATTTAATAATCATTCCTTTTAAGTTTTTATTAAAAAGAAGAAGTTACAACAACTGTTTGAAATATCAATACTTGATTTTCATTTTAAATAACACAGTTATAACAAAAATCTATATAATTTATTTATAATAATCTATTCATAATTCTAATTAAACTATTATTTCTTTTATTAGCATCAGTTTCATCATTTAAATTATCATCATTTTGATCAAATTTAAACTTAAATAAGTTCGATTTTAAATTCTCATAAAAAGGTAAAAATTGTCTAAAAGCAACAATAACTAATTTGTATTTGCTATTAAAACATTCTTCACTTGAATTAATTGAATTAATAAAATCTTCAATATTAATCCACTCAATACCTGCAATTTCTTTAGCAGATCTTGGTTTAACTGGTACACTGGGATCAATGTTTAATACAACGTATAATGTGATCTTTTTAAAAATAGTAAAATTAACACAAGTGATATGATCAGTAACATCAATACCAACTTCTTCCATGGTCTCTCTCACAGCACAGATTTTAGGATCTTCATTCATAATTCTCTTACCCTTAGGGAAAGTGTAAGTACTTCCTGTAGTTTGTTTAACAATTAAAAACTTACTTAAATCAGGCGAGAATATCATACAACCATAAACAGGAACAGACCTTTTATAGTTGTTAAAGTGATTAAGATCATCATTTAATCTGGAAAGTGGAAAAACATTATTGTAATAATAATACTTATCACAAGCACTAGGAAAAGATTTATGTTGACAAGGCTTATATTTTTCAATAAGACTTACAATCTTAGACTCATTAAACTCAGACATGTTTAACTTAAACACTTCATTTAACACATTATCACACTCCGGTATAACCTTTGAATACATAAGTAACAAAGCAGCAAATGTTCTAAAAGATAAATTATTTAATACGTAATTATCAATTGAATACCAATAAGCTTCCTCTACTATAAACAAATACTGTCTATAATCTAAAAATATGAATTCATTGTGATTCATAACAAACTTAACATACACATCATTTAAGAGTGTCTTTAAAAACTCATTCATAAATTTCTATGAAATATTTTATTAAAAATTTTAAGTAAAAATTAGTGTATCTAATTCTTCTTTAAGTAACTGATAATTAAAATGTTTATTATTATAATCATATCTGCAACCCATTATTATTATATAAATCATTATTATTATTGTAAATACTGTTATTGTTAAGAAACATAAATAAAATTTAATAAATCTTTCTGTTATCATTTATTTACTTAAATAAACAATAATTTGTTTTCTTTTTTATGAGAAAATTATTAAATTTTATTAAAATCATTTATATTTGATTTATTAATAAAAAATTTTAACTAATTAATAGTTTTTAATTTTTTATACAACAATCATGTAATTAGTTTCAGTATTTAAAATATTTCTTTATATTTATAGAGATAGTTGATTTTTTAATTAAGTAAAATAATTACTAAATAAAATGTTATTTTATCAATTTTTATTAATAAGTTTATTAAATTACTAATTATGTTTATTATTTTTAAATCTTTTAAATAATTCATTGATAACTTTATATGTATTAAAATATATATAACATGAACATGTATTGTTTAAATTCTGATAAGTTACAGTGGTGGCCAAAAAAATTGCAATACCCACATAGATTAAATATGAAAACG